CGATACTTAACATGACCCAACTGCTGTGTTTCTTAGGAACGGCTCTTAACCCGATTCGGCAGTATTACCTGTGGCCGTAGAGCTCCGTTCATAAGCACTGGCGCTTCTGGGAGTAGGGCCGCGTCATCCCTTACGGTCGCGATGCCAAACATCAGCGCCATCTGAACTCAGGAACATCAACTGTGCATTGGCGTAGCACCGCGGCAACGCCGACGGCGTACCGTTCTCCTTTGCTTTGCGGCATACGACACATAATGTAAGCCGCAATCGAATAATTATGCCTTTCTTTCATTGGACTTACAATTATCTGTCATTGCTGGGGCCTTTCCGACAGTTCGCAGGTATGGTTAGGATAATAGGGCATCCCGTATTAGTCCTATACAGCAGATACAACTGAAAGAAGTACAGGGGGAGCTGCACCTCCTACTAACAGTATGAGAATAAAGTAGGCGAGTGCAGGGACGACATTCGGTACTCACCCCATTGATGACCCGGCGCGACGCTTGATCGAGCCTCCTGCAGGGAAAGGAGGGTAGCGATGGGTTAGTGTCTGAGCGTCGTACCTAGTACCTACACAACACAGTTGTACAGGATTCAGTGTGTGTTTGTAGGGCGCCCCGACTTCAGAGGAGAAAATTCCAGACCACTTTTTGAATTGATCTAAAACATTTCCACAAGTGGACAACATGTTAGCGTCTACTGGTCTAACCTAAATAATTAAATATGGTGAAACATCACTCCCCATACGATCTACATCGCTCGCAATTTGACGGGATAGGCCGTGACGTGGGCCGTGGCCGTGAGCAGTGCTCACGGCCCATCCCACTGTGCACACTGTGCTGTTTGAGTCAGAACTCAGAAGCCTAAATGCAGTCATGATTGCTATTCGGTTGGTCTGGTATTAACCCTAGAACGCCTAGGGGGGGGGGGGGTTGTATCAACCCCCCCCCTGAGTTTTTTTCGAAGTGCACGCTAAACGGCTTGTCGTAGCGGGCTGAAATTTTCAATACCCTCTGGGGCAACCTTTGCGCATCTTTTGCCGAAAAAAAATTGATCGGGTCATGTCAGGTCACGGAGTTATGACGTCATAAGAGGTACAGCCTCCGGCCGGATTTTCACAAACTGAGTGCCAACGCCCGAGGTTTCCTGCCGGTGGTACGGAGATCGGTTGATGGATCGTGATGAAACTTCCCATGCATGTTGGGGCAAGTATTGGCTATCATATGGTATAAAAAATTTGACCGGGTCAGGTCAGGTCACGGAGCTATGACGTCACAAGAGGAACAGCGTCCGGTACTATTTTTGAAAAGCGCCCGAACCACTATTTTGCTAATTCTTGTCACCTCAATGGGAAATATGCAGCAATATTAGCTTCTATAGGGAGCAAATGGACCTCCCAAATCCAAAAATACAATCAGATTTCAAAAATTTAAATTTTGATTTTTCGAATTTCTGCCGCCGACTGTGACCTTGCCGACTTCCGGCGCTCCCAACGCGCCATTTTTAGAGCTAGGGAAAGGAAATACATACCAAACGATAGAGAATTGATCAAGAAACACGATAGTGAAGGTTTCAAGTCGATATCTCCCACCGTTTTGCCGCAATCGCCGCCGAAAGTTGAAAAAAGTCTATTTTTCCGAAAATTTGACCTTTGACCGGTCAAAAGTAGGTCAAATGTTGACCTAGGACCAAAAAATATACCACCAATCGCGAGATCTCGTTGAGAGCAATCCGTTGGTTTTTTCCGCTAAGCTCTACGACCTTCCGTTTCGAAACGCCAGGGGGGGGGTCGTAACAACCCCCCCCCCCCTGGTCGTTCGTGTTATGAGAAATGGCCTGGTCGTGCGAGGGTTAAGCGTTTTGTTCGACCTTATTTTGCAATATTTGTTCTACTCGACATCACATTGCAAAATTTTGGTTAAATTCTCTAGACAATTCTACTTCTAAGGCAAATATGTGGAAATGACCATGCCAAGCTCATGCAAAAAAAAGTTTGAAATACCCCAACAAATTGGTATTGTAGGTAGTGGTGCTTCCTTTTCTTCACACCCCCTATACTCAAAGAATTACAACTGACCAGACAGAAAACACTGGTTAATAAATCACACATCACAAACACACTAGCTTCTCTTTTCATTCCTACCTGAGCCGTTGTTAACAGCTGCCATATGAGGGCAGCAGCCTAGCACTCCAAGAAGGTGTAATCTGAAAAAAAGATCAACATTTTGAACAAATAAATGACACACAACAAAACAGACACCTTGATAGAGAAAACACAAACAATTTATTAAGAATCAGTACAAAAACTATGCAAAAAGCAGTAGCAATAAAACATAGGTATTCCTAATTCCATCCTACTCAAAATGGATTACAACACTAATAACATAGCCTAATATTGATGTATAGCTGGTAAGCTGAGCAACTGAGATAACCAGTGACCTGGCTGATGAATAAACTGGCTGATGATGATGATGATGATGATAATGATGATGATGATGATGACCACTGACCCCAGATTACATGATTTAACTTAGATAAGATGAAATCTTGGGTCCTTAGATATGTGATGCCTACTTTGCAGCTACTTGTGTGCTATTGGAATTGCACATAACTGATCAATGCAATCTAATGGCTCAATTATGGTTTCCAGCTACCTAATATGGTTGAAATCAGGATACGTGCTGTATTAATGTTTATAAGGGCTTGAATTAACCTGGGCATTATTTGATTATTCCTTATCATCACTTATCATCATTTGTTCTGCCAGCTTGTTACCTAATGTTTTTCCACTTCTCATTGGTGGAATTCACATGTGATGTGATTGTGATGTTCACTAATTGTAATCAATGTAATGAGAGGTCAACAGAAGCAGAAGTAACATCCATGTATGGAAACAATTGGCAGCAGACCAATAAAACAAGGGCCAAACAGTGCTCTTAAAAAGAATGTGGGTGAAGACATTGTGAATTCTTGAATTGTCATGTTGTGTAGGTAAATTATGCAGGTATGTTCCTACCAAAATATTGGTAATGTGAGCACATAATAAAACTAGCAGCCATTTGATGATATACAATGGTGAATCAAAAGGGCTGAGAAAGGACGCATTTGCTAGCCCTATAACAAAGCCTGCTTATCCGTATTCTTCAAAGGGGAAACTGTTTGGCATTCCTATCGAAAACTCAAACCTTTCCTACCAACCTTATGAAGGTCTTTAATAGAAATGCATAAGGAACTAACATCAGCTATAATTTGACAAATCTAATAACCTTTTTGGGTTATATGCCCTCTCCTAATACAATGGCTTAAGTGATAGGTAACCGAAGGTTTGTTGTCAATAGTTAAAACACTATTCTTTAGAATTGTGTTTTTCTATTGAAAAACAAATCTGAGTTCCCTGACAATTTGGCAAAAGCTGCGTGAGATGTACTTGAATTTTTCCAATTCTAAATCCGCTGTACCACCTTGTGTGCTGGGTAGGTACCTACCTACCTTAAACAAAATGCAAGCAATTTGTATTAGGACAAAAATATGATAAATGAACAGTTTAAACAACGCATAATCTAAATCAAGTAATGAATTAACGAGAAATGAAACTCAACAAAAATGATACAAAAGCGGCGCACAATCAACAGGCCTTCAGATGGAACCAGTGAACCGATACAAGCTAAAAAAAAAACTCAGAAATCGATTTTCATCCTCAAATTTACAATAAAACACAAGTCTCAAAACACACTAACCAATAAATAGCAGCACTTAGCAGTAGCTTCTAGGACAAAATTACTAAAACTCATCCACAATCCACTGACTAACAAGGATACAACAAATTGTACATGACGATATTCAAATGACGTCATAGGAAAAAGTGCATTTTCCAAGCGATGATTGGCCACAGCTGCATCTTTCGCTAGATTCTGAAGTTGATTGGTCTAGCAATTGCTAGATATTCATAAATCAAGTTTATGATGATGACGCCTAGTTCTGCAATTCAGCATTACAAATAACTTTTACAGATAGTGGCTTTGGTAGGGGGATGAGCAAGGGATGGGGTAATTCCACAGATAATTCGGAAAAATATCGTTCATGGCGGTTCATTGATAAGAAGGTAGGTACGTTAGATGTGACATCAATGCAATAGTAGCAAGCTCAACCTCAAGTTATAAGTTAAAGTGCTGTTGACAAATGTTTATATGTCAAAAAAAAAATCAGGATGTATTAAAAATTGAAGCGGGGAAGTTTTTTGTTTTGACTTGTCAAAAAATCTCGCCGTCATGGGGGTTATTTCCGCCGTAACGGGTCGTCTGAAGGTGGGAATGTCCCAAATTGAATCAAAATATTGATTCTATGCCCATATATGGTCAAAGCTCCGCCCACTAGAATCAATATTTTGATGCCTCCATATTTTGATTCCCGCCGCCTAGTTTGCCCAACTGATGTTGAAAAAATGCAGTCATTGCTGCTGGCCTGCTTCCTTTTACAAGCTGCTAGGGGAGGAGTGGGTATTATGTCAGTGCAGAGTTGACGTGGGCTCCTGTGTGTCAGTGTGCCATGTGCATTGGGGGTTCCGAGCTGGGTTCTGAGTCCTGACATTGTGAAATGTGAGCTCCATAGTCAATGGACAGCTACCTAATGGGACAGTCCAAGTCGTCTAAATCTAAATCATATGAATACTGATACTGTGGGTGCTCGTCATGTGTTGATTGACTGCATTTTGAAAGTACTGTGTTGGTGTAGGGAACATGTTTTCCCCCTTTTATATTAATAGATATGACCTGAGGGCTGTTCACTGGCCCTGTGTGCGGTTGGACCGTACACAGCCTCCAAGCTCAAGTCCCGCCCACTGCGTCCCTACGTCAGCCTTCCGTCACCACACACACTGACCGGTGTGGCCGGTCGGGACCGGCCACAGCGGACCGTCCATCGCACGCAGCTGTGACGTCAGAACCACCTACCCATCCCCTACCCCCACACCTGCTGCACACACAGCACACACTGCACTCGGCAGTTTGCGGTGCCTGTGAACACCTCTGGTTATACCTGTCTGGAATCACATCAAAGTGAAACTCGCCTGTCCTGTAGCTCAGTTGGTCGAGCATTGCACTCCCGGTAGTGAGAGCCCGGGTTCAAGACGCTCCGGCGCTCGATATTTGAGACTCCTGACGGGGATGGTCTGCGGTTGGTGGGAGCTGCCGCAGCCAGTTGAAGTTAGTTGAGTGGGACAGGCCGTGTCCGGCTTTGAAGGGCACTTGCCACGCCATATGTGGAAGGCTTTTGGTGTCAATACATAGTACATACATACATACATACATACATACACGTTAAACTTTGGCATCTAAATTCTCCCGTTACCCGGAATTGTGCGATCGGACGGTAGGGGCGAGGTCTTCGCAACAAGCTCTGCTTAGCGTGGGTTCCGGCTCTGTCAATCCGTCAGTGTTCCATTTTTCAGACTTTTTGGTGGCAAATCACACCTAATGGGGAAAATATTTTCATCCCTAGAATATGAATGACCAACTTAACTTCATCTCTGAAAAGAATTTCATGTATTCCCAACAGCCAGTTCACATGTCACTTGACAGTTGATGCACCCACATCCTTTTGTTCCACACCCTGTCAAGATCCTGGTTTATCGGTTGGCATAAAAATTGGCATTACACCATTTTGCAAAAATACTTCAGTTATTTACTTTCTTTTTTTCTCATCCTAGGATTTTTTGTTCTTCATCGGCACACCCAACCAATATCCAATTTTAGAACACTGCAATCCGTCCATTCAAACATGCGAGCTAGATTTATATAAAAAAAAACCCTTTTGCTCATTTCAGGACAGATAATGGGAGGCGATACTGCAGAAACGGTGACTCAAACATCGAAGCCTGTCTTGGACAAGAGTGCTGTTCCAGACTTGGTTCACCACATATTTGGTCTGACAGTCACAAATGTTAAGGAACTCAATGCATATGATGATTTGAATTTTCACATACAGGTGGGTAAGTATACATTGCCTAGCAACAAAGTGAGCCTTGCTAGTGCAAGCTGGGATATGATAGTTGCTTTGACCCTTATGCCTCATGGTAACATCCAAGTTGCATACCTTATGCCAGGATGCCTTGTTTAGTGTATATAATATCATATTTTCATAAGACTTTCATTATTTCCTCAAGTCAAGCTGCAGGTACCCAGATTTGAATTTGGCGCTAAGTTTACCACGAACAGTTATAACCAGTAGAACTTCATGGCTTTCGGAAGCTGGAGGCTAAGCATCGCTTATATGAAAGGGGGATTGGTTGGCCAATGAACATTTTTGTCAAAGTCATTTCCCATGAATCAGACCCTGACCTTTGGGAGCTTGATCTGACCTCAGCAGTCCACTTGACCCCAGGGTCCAGACATTCGAATTCAGTATAACTACGTCTCGTTATACCGTACATAGCTACGTCTTGAAATACTGCACATAGCTGAGTCCCGTAATACCGCACACAAATGCGTCTCGTGATACCGCACATGCTCATTTTTCCGACGCTCTCGCTCACTTTGGGACAGAATAGCGAGGTAGAGGGTTGCACTGCTATAAGGGCTTGCATGCTTTCATTCATCCATTCATGCGTTAATTCATTCACACATTTGTTTTACAGGTGGCACCCGTCCACAGCAATCCATTCATCAAGGAGGTATGTCCCGATGGATACACACTGAAAGCCCTCAACTCGGTCGAGTCCAAGCGACCAGCCATTGTCGAGGCGCACAACCAGCTGATGTGGAAACTCAAGGACGAGGGCTTTAGGTTTGTATGTTAAGGGTGCGTTAACTTCGGAGGTGGCTCCGCTCAGCGTTGGTGTCCGAGCACTACTACTCCGATTCTCAGCCAGTAGATGTCACCAGGGAAGAGCGCTTTTTTCCCACGTTAATGACCTTCTCCCCCTCCTCATTTCACGGCCCTTGCGATAACGACGTTTGGTTACTGCGCCGGCGCGGCGGGCGGCGCCGACTGAGGGAGATCATGGTGTGTTAACACCGCGCGGAAGGAACACGCCTCTCGACAGGCCTTCCCGGCGCCGTCCTTAGCCTGGTGTAGGTACAGCCCTCAGCAGACTGCGTGGTAGGTATTCTTTTTTCGACAAAACCGATAATAACTCAGAGGCTATGCTATCAGTCGGTCAGAACTCGCTGCAAATAGATGCGTCATGCTCCACTCCTTCGATTAGGTGTATCACTAAACAAAGTATACGCCTTGTGTGGCAGCAAAATGCAAAAGTTTGTTTTGGGGGCAAATATAAATTTTGGATTTTGTTGCCGAACTAGAAGGAAAATGAATACGGTGATGATGCCAATCTAAGGTGCGGAGTTTCGCGTGTCTTCCTGTTACGATTTGCGAATGACCGATAGCATAGTATTCGCATTATTCTCGTTTTTGTCGAAAAAAGAATAACTTATTCTTAAGTTATTCTTAAGTTATTCTTAAGGTTAGTTACCTACCACGCAGTTTGCAGGGGGCTGTACGTCCTACCCAGTTAGAACGAAACTGATTATTTGATATGGATACATGTTATCGAGCTAAAAAAGAGTCAACCAATTACACTTAAGTTCAGTGCCAGTTGGCTTGCACTGGTGCAAGGTTCTGTGACTTTTTTTGTCTGGACACCAAACGAAACGTCATGTCAGCGCATAGCTGCTGATGAAACGTTCATCGCAAACAGACTGGAAAAAGTGAAGGCATTTTATGATGAGTGCATCGTGCCAGAAATGATAGATCCCCGCAAAGCACGACACATGCCGTTCCGTGAGCGGTCAAGGTATAGGGAGCCCAAGGGCAAAGACGTGAAGAAAAAAAAAACATACAGGATGAGGCGACTAGCCCTGCCACATACCTAACAAGCTGATACTTTTTTTTTGTCACTCATCCCATCATGGCAAAAAAGGGTAAAAAAGGGAGCGACTCACAACAGTGAATGAGACTTCGATGTAACATATCATTGGCTCAGATGTCGACCACGCATCAGCTTAGGTACTTTCAGCAATCGTGTCAAAACTGAAGAATTCGCTCAGCATCATGCCGATCTCATTTTGTGCTCCTTGCATAGGTGTAGGAACGTTTTCGAAAGTGGGGGGGGGGGGAGGCTCCCAGAGGCACAAAACCTCACCTACCCCCAAAATCCATTTTCTCCTCGGATTTCGGCCACTTTATTTTCGCAAGCATGCTCAAGTTGGTAAAAAAAAAAAAACGTGACAAGAAAAAAACGACCAAATTCTCGGGGAGACTCCCGTCCAGAAATTAAATCTCATGGACGCGTCCCCGTGGCCTCCGCAGACGAATCGAAGCATGAATCGAAGTAGTGCCCCTACCTATACCCAAAATTAAAACCTAAACTAATTTCGGCTACTTAATTTTGGTGGTGCCCTATTTTCATTTTTATTTATTTGTTTTTGCCCTGGCAGGCCTGTGGTGCCCCTGGCGGGCCTGTGGTGCCCCTGCTAGGCCGCAGGTGCCCCTGGGCCCTGACAGGACTGTGGTGCTCCTGACAAGCCTGAAGTGTCCCCGACAGGCACGTGCTGCCCCTGACAGTCCCAAGGTACCCCTGGGAGGCCAGTGGGTGCCCCTGGCAGGTCTGTGGTGTCCCTGGCAGACCTGTGGTGCCCCTGCTAGGCGTCTGGTGCCCTTGACAGGTCTGTGGTGCTCCTGAAAGGACTGTGGTGCCCTGGGCCCTGACAAGCCTGAGGTGCCCCTGACAGGTCCGTGGTGCCCTTGACAGGCCCAAGGTGCCCCTGCGAGGCCGGTGGTGCCCCTGGAAGGCCTTTGGTGCCCCTGGAAGACCTGTGGTGCCCCTGACAGGTCTGTGGTGCCCCTGGCAGACCAGTGGTGCTCTTGCTAGGCCGATGGTGCTCCTGACAGGCCGGTGGTGCCCCTGTCAGGTCTGTGGTGCCCCTGATAGGTCGGTGGTGCCCCTGATAGGCCTGTGGTGCCCCCGGGCCCCAAGGGGGCATGACCCATGTGACCCCACCTTGGATCCGCCACTGGTTGGCACCCATGCGAATTCCAGGAACATCCAAAGCTTTTTTTATTACGAGCGAGCGTGAAACGTGAGAAGTGAAAAGTCAGCAAAGGGTGTGTGTGTGGGGGGGGGGGGGCAGTTAACATTGCTGGCCCCCATTCGAAAGTGGGGGACCATTGCCCCCTGCCCCCTGTTCCTACGCCTATGTAGGGGAAAGTGGGGTAAGACGGGCACCTTAACTTTGGAGCCATTTTTCGGCCGGTTAGAAACATCATAGAAACGGGAAACTGAGTGAAAACCTTTTACAGACATTTTACTTCCATTTGCCAGAAGATGAGACTTAGACCTGACTCAACAAATAAACTGCAGCTATTTTTGCAAAACCTTGCAAAAACCCATCTTACCCCACTCCATGGGGTAAGACGGTCACATGGGTAGGGCAAGACGGCCAGCTTCTTTCACCGACCAGCACAGCTCGCAGCAAATGCCCGAGATTAGCCGCATTGATACAGTCGCTCGTTGGTCTCAAGTGCTTCGGAAATGGCAGTATACGAGATTCGTGCAGAAGGCGTATACTCGTATATAGGCCCTAGTTCAGAAGCCATGTAGAGCCGTTTTTCACATTCATTATTCGAGAATAAACTGTGCCGAAGGAATATTGCTAACATGTCTGTGAGTATCGGAATCGAACATATTCTTATCAGAAATGCTTCTTTTTTCCTACAGCAACAAAAATATTTTTACCATTACAGACCCATCGGATTCATAGTTGCCCGTCTTACCCCAAACTCAATGTCAGAAGTTCAGCACGATTTTTCTCTGTGGACAATTTGATGCAGACAAAGCAAATCCGCGGTGAATGAACACTGGAGGCATATGAGTGTGCCACAAGTGATTGCCAGTTTTTAACTCTATAGTGCTGCACACAAAAGCTTGCACAATACATTATGAATGTTTTCAATGAAATGAGTGTTTTAAAGAAATCAAAATAAAAGATTATTGACCGAACACAAATTCACCAGACTTCAATGGCGGTGTGTAGTGGGAAAGGCTATTCTGGTCCTAATTTTTCTCGCTCGTAGCGCTATTGGTTTGGTCTGCAGAGGGGGTGCCCGTCTTACCTACCTTGACCGTCTTACCCCACTTTCCCCTAGGTATGCCAGTAACCGATCAACTAAAGCAAGGCCGCCTAACATAAAGTGTTACTTTACGCCGTTTACGCATTCTGCTGCGCCAGTATTGTCTCTCTTTGCAGCGCGCGCTGCCCCTAAGCTGCCACTTATTGCTTCTGACAAAGTTACCTTTCATTGGGCGGAGGAATAGGAAAATTGCACTCAATAACGATGAAGCACAAATGGAAATCTTCATGGAGGGGCAGGCCAGAGAACCGTCAAGTTTGTTCTTCGGGGTGATACCTATAAATGCATTAAAAAGTTCGGCAAAAAGTGGGGGGGCAGTTAACATTACTGGCCCCCCACTATGAAAAGTGGGGGGGCGTTGCCCCCCCCCGTCCCCCCTGTTCCTACACCTATGGCTCCTTGTTCTGTGTCAGTTTTGTGTCATGTACGAATGCAATATGTCAATGCATGCCATGGATGCAATATTATGTACCGGTTATACTGGTATGTTTCCATTGGCTTCGCCTCTGCACTGTGTCAGCAGAGCAGACGCCAAACTGGGGATTTATGTGTGATGCATCGCTGATGTACAACTACTGATGCGCCGTTTTATTACCTTCCGTGAGTATTACAATTCATAGTAGTACTGGTTGTTCCTTCTTGGTCTTGAGCTTCACCATGTGGTTGCTATATACCGATACCACATTATTTGCCGACGTGTTGTGAATTGTGATCGCTATACAAATGCAGCTTCAGAGTAGGTAGGTACTATGCGATTGTAATATTACTGACGTATAGACAGACTGGCCACAATCAAATTCAAGCATGCCATCAGAGTTCACATGCAATACCCATGTTTATTTAGAGGAGAAGGTAAAGTATAGGCGCCAAGGTTGGTAGTTGGTAAGCTGTGTATCGATATACTACTTATATAAAATCCACTAATCTCATTCAATCCACCCACCATCCGTATTTTCCTCCGACAACCCCGAGTTCGCTTCTGTTCCGGCAGAGTTTCACGGCCACCGGCACACGCGGGAACCCCAGACCGTAAATCACCGTGTGTTGACAGTTCCTTCCCGCCGGTCGGGGCGACTAGCGGGTTTTATTACATGGGGGAACGGCGGGGACCGAGGCGGAGACCCATACGACATCTAGCGGCACTCCCTTGAACCAACAAAACCGTCAAAAAGTGGATATGAATCGGGCTTAATTCCAGTCACAGTTCAGATTTTTCTGAAAAGTAAACTTCATTTTCGTGTGAAGAAATGTTCTGTGCACATTTCTATGTAGCCGGTTTTTTGTTTTATGCCTCACACAAAAAATGAAAGATGAGCAAAGTTTTACTTTCATTTTTTGCAACATTGCAAAAAGAAAATGGAAAATCGGAGTACATAGAATTGTTGTCCACTTTGAGGAGATGCGGGTGCCATTCATTTTTTTGCGCCTAGTTTGAATGACATTTAATGAATTTCGGCTCAAACTTTTCAGTTTTCCACCTTTATCGTGCAATATCAACGTGAATATTGCACAGAATCAAACAACTTGTCCAAAGTAGGCTTTGTATACCCATGGAGCAGGTACATGCCAAATTTGAGGCTAATATCTCTATCGGTTTTCAAGATATTGCGGTTTTTCACCTCCCATTGACTTTACATTAACATCGCACCCTTAACGAAACGATACCTATTTCATACGCCAAGTTTTACTCACATTCAAGGAAAAGGCGTTGAAATAGAAGTGCTTTTCGTCCTTTGCCTCTTCAAATCGTTTTAAGCTTTAATGGGTAATGCATCACGGTGTTTCAGTTCTCGTGTAGTGCTGGGAATATATCATCAGCTACCCGTCACCACCCTCGGTGTGTCTGATCGTCTCGGGACGTGTCTGTATTTGAGCGCACTGTGACCACTCGTACTGACGCGTCCCACCATTGTCAGCGTCCCGTACCCGACTAGAACGGTCTCCAACACCGAGTGGTCTGTGGAGCGGCTGACCAAGACGGCCGGACCCCGCTGGAGACCGCAGGACGGTGAGTTGGCGGAGTGCAGGGAAGGGGCGATCAGACGCTGGTTCACCGCAGTGTGCTTTTTGAAAATGATAGAACAGTATTGCCCAACAGTGTAGGAGGCAACACTGGATACTTTACTGTTATATTTTGCCGACAGTCTTACTGATCGCATGAGCTCACTATTCTAATTCTCCCTCTGGTAGTCTCCTTTGTAGAATAATTTGTATAACTTTGTCAAGTCAAAGCTTCACTGCCGAGTTATAGAAACGAGAAGCATTGGCCAGTGCCCCTATTGTGACGTTGTCCGTGCCGGTTTGTCTGTGTCAGACAGCGAGCCTGCCTCCGACCACGTGGTGCGTCTGCTGGCGTTCGTGCCCGGCCAGATCCTACACTCGGTCCCCTACACACCGACGCTGATCTTCGAAATGGGCGAGATGGCCTCCCGCATCGCCAACTGCCTCAAGGTGGGGGCACTGTCGGGTGACGTGTCAGATACCCAATGCGATACGTATGTTAATTCATGCTTGCAACCGCATCCTCACATTACGTGCGCCATATGACATAGCATAATATTCTTATCTAAAAAGGTAAAGAAATTAATGAGATGCTCCATGCAGCATATTTGATGGGTGATAAGACAACCATCAAGTCTTACATCAATGCCTACCTCAGATGTTTCCTTTCAAGCCACCCAGCCTAAATGACTCGTCATCGACTCAGCGTAAACACCGCATTAGCCGTGCACGATCCACCGCTAAACCTATTCGGCCGTCTTTCACTGCCACAGGATTTCCACCATCCGGTGTACGACGACCTCGACTCGTCCTGGTACCTGCGCTCCGTGCCTCGCGTGGCTCAGTTCACCTGGGTGGTGAAGGACCCGACGCGCCGTCACATGGCCGAGCAGGCCGTGGAGCGGTTCACGAAGGAGGTGGTACCCGTCATTGACCAACTGCCGCAGGGTGAGGAAGGCGCCGTGCGTGCTGGGGAGGGTGATTGGTGGTGGCTGGGGTGTGGATGGCGCGACTGTTGGCGTGGAGGGTGTTTTGAGGGCTCTGAAGTTGATCTTGAAGACTCATAGAAATAGGATTTGTCATATTATATGCTGTGGGATTGGTGTAAAGCAAACTAATTTAAGTCGTAGTCACTCCACGATACTGAGCCTGCTAACTGCTTCATTATTGTGATCAGCAACAAGGCCAACAACTGTTTTACTCTTTATCTGAGCAATATGCAACATCAATTTCCTTATACTTAGGCTTGTTTTACACGCATCAATCACTCCTGCATCTAACTCTCCTTGGCCCTTGCCCGCTGCCTCTCTGGCAGGCATGCTCCACGGCGACCTGAACGAGCAGAACCTGCTGGTCTCGCCGGGCGCCGACGGTCAGCAGCACATCGCTGGCCTGATCGACTTTGGCGACAGCCACCGGTCGGCGCTGGTCTTCGAGCTGGCGCTGGTCATCATGTACATGATGGTCGACTGTCCGGCCGAGCTACCGCGGCTCGACGTCGGCGGCCACGCGCTGGCCGGCTACCGGCGCCATCGGGCGCTCACACCGTCAGAGCTGAAGGTGCTCAAGGTGAGGTCGGGATTCGTTACTGGTAGGATTTGTCACGTTTCAAGGCATCGGATTGATTGATCTCACTCACAATCGTGTTTCAGGGTTTCTGATCAGTCATCGGTGTCAGTGTTGGTGTTGATAAGTCGGTAAACGGACGTAGGGGCATAATGTGCCCGCGGCCATGTCATAATATGCAATGTTCTTGGGCGAAGTTATCATTGGAATGGTCAAAAATGAAAGTAACACTGAACCGAGATATTATTCTATGACAAGATAGCACAGAACTGCAATATTTTGTGTTGGTAACTGACTTTCCACAATGTGTTTGCCGTTTTGCCCTGTCGAACCTATAACCCACCTGTCCGCTGTTCCGACAGACGTGCGTGTGCGCCCGTTTCGCGCAGTCCCTGGTCCTGGGCGCGTACGCCCACCACCAGAACCCTGCCAATGAGTACGTCCTGATGACGGCCACCAACGGGTGGACGGCGTTCGCGGCCATCTGGGAGGAGCCAGAAGAGAGGCTGTACGCACGCTGGGAGGCCATTGGCCGGGAGCGCTGGGCGGAATAGAGGGAGGCGGGAAGACCACTAGCTAGGGATGGATAGCGGAGGCATAGAGGAGTTTTAGCTGCAGGAATGATAACGCAGGGACGATTCTGGGACCAGTTGGGGGACAAAAAGCATACATGCCGTGCATGCCACATAAAATGCATACCGTATTGAACTTCTGATGCTGTGTGAAACCGAATGTATTGTAATGTTCGACTGATACAGGAAACGTAACAGTGAATTGTCACCTATCGTGATAATTGATAAAGAGCAATAATGTGAGTGTAAGACGAGTCTATTTGGGTTTGGCGTGAGTAAGCGAAACGACTGTGTCATCTTTTGCGTTGCCAGTATCGAAACGGCTAGAACAATTACCCTTAATCATTTATTATCTTGTAGCATTGATATATGCATTTAGCAAATAATAGTCTTATATCTATATGTCGCACTAGTGACGAGCCATATCGTTCAGTCATCAGAATCAGGGTTTATGTCCCATGACAGCAATAATGTTTGCCGTTTGGGGATGCAGTTACAAGCGTATTTGGGTATGGCGTTCGCTCACTGCCACAGTGAACAAAGACAATTTGCTCAATGACCGCGTTGTCTGTTGCAGTTTGCTGCGATGTTAGTAAGTGGCTGATGTTTACGATAGTCGTAAGACAATCGCTCATATCATATGCCCGTTGTGCTGCGCACGAGATTCAACATAAGCAATACCATGTGCCTTGGCAATCAGCTGCTCTGAAAATGAAATGAACGTTTGATTCAACCTGTTACTTGTTTACACATTGACCGTAACGTTATCGCTCGGTGGTTTTGAATCTGATAGCTTTTTGGAATGGCGTGCCGTAATACACGAGGACTCATAGCCAGGGATTACCATTGGCCTGATGTGGCTATGTTGTTAGCACTGTATCTTACCAGGCATAATTAACTGTGTTGGCATGCGTTGAGCTGTAATCCATGTTCAATCAATTCATAGTGCCTGAAAATACACGTTATCGAACCGTGCTATATTCATGCTGCCCCAGTCCAATACGTGTCTCGAGATCAGACTGTGAAGTGACGGCGCAGTCCTCTCACCTATCGATGAAGGTGGTGAGCTCGGGACACGCGTCTTGAGAGATCGCATGTATTCAGCATTACGACGTCGTTACAAAAGGTGGCATAATGAGACAAAGATGCAAGTCCAGTAATCCCATGGCGATTCAACTTGACACACGATATGCCGCGACAACAGTGACTTTCACGTAAATATCAGCACACGCGCGCGCACGATATTTCTTCATGAACTACACATTACACACGTTACACCTCTCATCCACCCGCGGCCACACCACCTTCCATGCCCACGCCGCCAGCATTGATACTAATAATACGCAGGCAGCCTCACTGCATATAAGTTTGTTAGACACACCACCACACGACAACACACGAACCTCGTCACGCACGACATTAACATTCATTCCGTGAACACACATCCACGTATACCGCCCAGTAGCACGCATACCATCAACCACTACGTACCACGAGTGTCCGTCCAAACCCACCCCCTCCCCTGCGCGGTACCGCCGGCACCGGCCCCGGTCGCCCACCGAGCGCACACTGCGAGGGGAGTCCACCCCGTCCCGGCAGCCGTCAGTACTTCTTCAGCGCCTTGCGAATGATGGCCATCCGCTGTTTGTGCGCCTCCGTGGCGCCGCTGCGTTTGTACGGACGAATCTCCTCGGTGCCGAAACCCGGGATCCACATGTTCCACTTGCGCTCTGTGGGTGAGGAATAAGCCCGTCAGTGGTTAGGGATACAATCAAACAGCTTGTCTGGCAGAACACCGGATTCTAATATCAACGAGACGCATGAGTAGTCCAGAATATATCAATATCAACCTTCGTGAGAACTGTCCAGAAAGATTAGTTAACGACAATCGGAAACCAAGTTGCATACAGTGTGCAACAAAGTACCAGCAAGCATGAAATAACAACTGCGGCGGCCTAGGCACTGACCGAGGTAGAGCTGGACGTCCTTGACGTCCACGGTGGCCGCCTTGCGGTGTTTGGCCAGCTGGCAGGCGGTGCTGACGGTGCTCTCGATGAAGTCGTCGGCCAGCTGCAGCAGCAGCTCCTCCACCTCCTCGTCCAGCTGCTCGTTCGGGTCCACCTCCTTCACCAGCTCGTGAAGACGCTGCTTCGTCAGTAGCTGGTGGGGCAATGACAGGACTGTCAGACAATTAGACTAAATGGACCGAGAGCATGCATATAAAATTATCGTTATCGTGAATAATGGTTTTCAAACTACAATCCACAATCCAAAACGATATGAGGATGAGCTCCGCACAGACTCGCCCCATCCCCCGGTCACTTTACGTACATCACCGGTGGCTGCGGCACTGGCGGCGGCCGCGGCGCCGGCAGACTGTCGCTGCTGCTGCGGGGCCGCCGCCGCCGCCGGCTGCGACTGCGTCGGCTGTACCTGCGGCTGCTGCAGGGTCACCACACTCTGCTGGACCGTGGGAGCCGCCAGCGCAGCCATACCGGGTGGCTTGGCCACTAGAGTGCCAGCCAGCACCGCTGCCAAACGAGACCAGCAGTTAGTGTGGAAAGTACTAAACACAGAAGCATCACTGCAGGTCAACAAGGAACAGACTAGAGCAGGAATAAAAGAGAATGATAACCAAATGATGACAAGTGATAAAAATATATGGTCTTGAAAAGACCTAGCTTATGCTACTCACTTTTTTCCTAAACGTAAAATGCCAAGAAAAAAAAGTTAGGAAAATAAACTGGTCAGATTTCATATCAACACCTGCACCTTCAGCATCCAACTGAAAGATTGTATAGTTCCCTTAAAATACAAATCTACCCACTCTCACATAACTCACAACCCTTAGGTAACAATTACACAGCATTGTTCTAAATGTCCGTTCTATCTAATTGGCACTTCTTTTTTACATGGTTTTCCATCTCTAATAACCCTACTGGCTACTACCATCCTCAGCAATGAGCAAGGAAGCCAGCATGTGAGTTGAACAGGTGAGTGTTTCAAGTCTCCTTTTATGGGCTGGCCAGGCCACACTCACCAGAAGGCTGTGGGCTGTGTCCAATCAGCTGCTGACCAGGTGCCAGTGTCACATATGTGGGCTGCACATTCATGTTGACTGTGCCCGTGGCTGTCTGCGCTCCAGACAAAGATACCAGCGCTGCACCAGCAGTCAGGCTCGCCTGCGGCTGAGCCATGCTGCCACCACCTCACCAAACCTTAGTGACCTCAGATGTATCGTAAGTACACCAGCTACTCGGACAGCTGTGGGCCGAGCCAATTTATCAGTCAAATCGATCAATAAGCAGGATATCAAGAAATTGTTACTCATGAACATTACAGAACAGTTAGCTTTCATGAATCATGACTTCATGACTAGGTACTCTCGCTTGAATAATAGAAAGTGCCTATAGGTACCCTTACTTAACCGACATTTAAGAATCTCACGCTCAGTCGAGTTGTCTGTTGTAGTGGCAAATATCATTGACGAGCAACGATATATACATACCTTCGTCTAGCGCCTACAATGAACCAAAATATTATTTAAAAATTAGAAATTAAACACCTGCACCCAAATTTTATTTTTTGATTGACAATAACAATAAGGCAAAGCCGTATATGACTTCAACGAACCGGCGCAGAAGTGACAAACCAAAGCAAGTCAAGTATTAACGAACTTAGACGCTAGCTAGCTGACTGAGAAAATCTTCTTGCTGATTGGTTAACTTTTAATGACATCATCAAGTATTATACATTACGGCATGTTGATTCGTTTAACTTTTTTACTGATGACGTCACTTAATAATGAAAATTTTAGGGGAAATGTCAACTTATTATAAATTATTGATTATGTTCGAATGTAGTCATATTGCTGTTCATGGTTGAAATCAGCCAATGCTTACATGACTTTTCTGCGAACTCTTGTCAGCATTCACTATCTTTCAACAGCATCCTGCAGCCTAAACAGCTGCATGAGCTTGGGGAAACGTGTGGTGACTGTTGTTGCGCAAGGCCGGCGGGGCAAATCTCTTTTCCATCTGTTGCGTTAGGTAAGTGCATGTCTGCTGTTTTTATGCTTCGAAGTTTGTTTTGGAATTTTGGTCAGTCAACAATAATTGCTTCAAATCAACCAAGAGGAGTGGCATATCTGGAACATGCACACACCAAGATCTCATTTTAATTTTGATTTAAATCATCAGATCATCAGATCTTCGCGTCAGCGTGTGTTTCTGGGAATAGTTATTGTCAGGGAACTTAACTACCATGACTAATGAGTAATATGATACCTGACAAAAGTATTATACAGCTTTTTATTCTTACATAGATATACTTGGGCTGTGGGCAGTGATTAAACTTGAACTTGACAGTTGAACCTAGTTGAGAGTTGAGACTAGCCAAGCCATGAGCAGTTTCCAGGATCCAGAGCAACAAATTCTCCATTCACGTTATCAACAACTGGAATAGCTTACTGCCAGGGGTCATTAGCTCTGACACACTTAACCAATTCAAAACCTGACTTGATGCCGGTTTTTGTGTATTTCTCAAATAGGCTTTACTAAATTAGGTTGCTGTTGATTTCTAGGGTGATTTTTAAGACCTTTAGTAGATTAACCCACGAGCCGCTGGGGGCGGGGCATAAAGTTGCCCCCCCTTTATGTTTTGTGAAATATCTCCGAAACCTGATAAGCTACGAACGTGAAACTTGGCATAGCTTCAAATGAATACCTAGGCAATGTTTGAGGAAAGTTTGGTGGTTGTAGCACCTAAGATGACGTCACAGTGACGTCATAAAGTTTTGTCGTTTTCCGATATGGACCGTTTCTGATGACGCTGAGCATGAAACTCAACTGTAAATGAACTAGACAGCACATGCTGTCATCCTAAAACATCTAACTACATTTCCATCTAGTTTCTGACCAATAATCGACCCTTTATATTCGGTCCCATATATCTGATGTATCGTGAGGAATATGAGAGTCGCAAATCTATGATTTCACTTATGACGTCACTGTGACGTCATTTCAAATGGGATCGACACCAAATTTGGACACAACCTCGGCTAGGTATTCAGGAAGATGTGTACAAAGTTTCGCTTCTCTACCTCTTCGCGTTGCGACGATATCGTCGCAGAAGTAAAGGGGGGCAACTATATGCCCCCCCCCCCAGCGGCCGGCGGGTGGCGCGGAGGCCCAGCGGCCGCCGGGTTAAGCAGGTAGCAGGAAATTTTCCTAAGGCCTTTCACCATTTTTGCCGAGATGAGAAATAAATGTTCTGGCTATGTAAAGCCATTCAACCACTCCTTGCAGCTTGTGGATGCCCTAGCTGGGGTGTAAGATAGAACCATCATCATCATATAGCTATAGCATCTGACTTTGCCTAACAGTAGTGGGAAGTGGGAACTACTGACCTTTGCACACTTGCACTGCAAGCTGCATGTCTGGCCCCTTCCCCTATATGATCCCCTATAATAAAAGTAGGCAGTAGCTAGTATCAACTATTCAGGCATCATCAAATGTTTGACAAAAATGTACCTAACATAACTTATCAATCTTCCTGAAACATATATAAATCTATAAAATTATGTGTTGATTTGATATATAAGATGTAGTCCTACAGAGTGTTTTATTTCTTCATTGAACCTCAAGGCAATAAATAGGCATACTACTTGTATTTGTATCATACCAGTTTTTGGTAACCATGCCATTGCAGCATTGAGTTCTGATGTCTACCATTTTTTAGGCTCTCAACATGCCAAAGAAATCAAAGAAGAAGGATGATTGGCCAGAAGATGATGATGTTGACAACATCTCTTCCAAAGTTGCCTCCACCAAGCTGGATGATGAGCAGTCTGCTCCTGCAAAGGCATCCAAGAAGAAGAGTAAGAAAATGGCCATGCTTGCTGATCTAGCAGCAGAAAGGGAAACTTCTGTAAGTTGTTTTGCATGTGGATTAAATTGATGTTGTGATATGAATCTTCCATGTAGAGTGTTTACTCTTGCCTTGAACATCCTTGAGTGTATCCAAAAGTGCATGCCAACAATAAGCTTTTGGAATGTTGTGCTGCATTGTGGTGAGAAACTTGACATCAAAACCCTTCTTGTTGCAGGCAGCAGAGCCAGCGAAATCAGAAAGTGCTCCAAAGAGCGATAAAGCTGAAAAGAAATTGAAGAGTGCTTCCAATGGCAAAGCCAAACCAGAGCCCAAAGTTGAGAAGGAGGCCAAAGCTGAGAAGAAGGAAGCCAAAGCCCCGCGGGCCTGCGTGCGGCCAGCCGGCGCGGACGATGAGGACGAGTCGAGATATCTCTTCGACGACGATGATCGCCCACCAGGCAAGTGGTGATCTCTCATCCGGGAAGGGATGCATTGTTCTTGTCAACGTTACAATAGATCTGTCATTGATACCAACCCACGTTAGCCTGGTGTCCTCTGGCAGGCATATCTGCCAAAGATCGAAAAGCACCCATGTTTGTAACTATATCTTTCAGCGCGATATCAGCGTTTTATAATCTATATGCGGCAGCAGAGGTGTAGTGTCACTGCCCTTGATCAATGCATATTTCTATTTTATCACACAGAGGAACCAGAGAAGCAAGATGAGGAGGATTCAGATATGAAGGGTCTTTCAAGAAAAGAGAAGAAAAAGCTGAAGAAGAAGGTCAGTATTCGCTGTTTGCAATGCTCTTTGTCGATTTGGTTTTCACACTTATCTAAAAATAGTCGTGGATTGGCGCACAAACACCGCCGTTCCGATCCCCAAGACGGGAACAATTATCATTCTTCGTTGTTCTTCAGCTCGAGCTGGAGGAGCAGATTGAGAGTATGACCCGGAAGGGCGGCCAGGGCGGCTCGTCGCTCGACTCCAACTTCACCGTCTCACAGGCGGACAAGTCGTCGGCGCGACAGGCGCAGATGGAGAATGCCGTCGACATCAAGGTCTGTTTAACAGTGTCTTTCACTTCCTGGCAAACCAGCTTGCTACCACTGAATGTATTACCTACTCAGCTATTAGACATGACGTAGACATTATTTATTACTGCTAGTACTTATTTCAAACAGTCATACGATTTGTGTCTTACTGATGGTGGTTGGAAGCTTGATGCTCCAGTTCTTCGCATTTACTTAGCGAAACATAGGGAAGTTTTAGATGGTAATTATTATCTGTAGCTTTTTGCATACTCTTTATGTGAACGTCCTCGTCTCGCGTTTCTTTGACCGTCCGTGCCGCCTGCCGTCAACAGGTGGAGTCGTTCAGTATATCGGCTCGCGGCAAGGACCTGTTTGTCAACGCCAGTCTGATGATCGCCCAGGGCCGGCGGTACGGCCTCATCGGACCGAACGGGTAAGTGCAACGGGCCCAGACGCAGGAGGGGTGCAGTTACAATGAGCATGAATGTGTTGTATTGATGTGAATTGTCATTCCTAACTCACGAATCTGATGCATGTGGCCGAACTATGGTTACGTGTTCGTGTCGCGAGTTGCAGCCATGTCATTAAATTTACAGCAGTTTCGGTGTCTAATGACGAACAATCACACTTCCGGTTTGATTTTAGCCACGGAAAGACCACCCTGCTGAGACACATTCAGAACAGGGTCCTGAACATTCCACCCAACATCGACGTTCTCTACTGTGAACAGGTAAAGCTCAATCCACGAACACCAGTGACGCTATTTGAAAACATTGTAATTTGATATTCGTGAAAGATAAAAAGTAACTCGAAATGGCTTTATTTATCTTACGATGGCATATTCATAACAGCTTCTGTGCCTCCCCTGTCTTTGCACCCTTTCGTCGACCTTGTTTTATGAATTTATTCTGATTGTTTTTGAAGAGCATATTTCCTAGGCCAGACTCAAGGCTAAGTATAACTTGCTGCACAGCTCTTGACTTTCACGACCCGGACGGGAAATCCTTCATGCATGGCAGAATTCTTAGTCGAAGGCTGAATGAGTCCACATAGCCGGGCATGCTCCCGGTTGCGATCATATCACGCTCACGGCCAACCCCTTCACTGCCCTTCACTGACTCTTTGACTGACCCCTGCGTGCCCTCGCTGACCCGGCGCGTCCCGCTCTCTTTCTGCAGGAAGTGGTGGCGGATGACACTCCGGCGGTGCAGGTGGTGCTGAACGCCGACGAGAAGCGCTGCTCGCTGCTCAAGGAGAAGGAGGAGCTGGAGAAGAAACAGTCGGCCGGCGACATGTCCGTCATGGATAGACTCAACCAGGTCAGATGAACGCCGGTTGATAGCTGTCGCTGACACGAGATGATTTGTGGGACCTTCCCGTCTGATTAATCGTGGTTATCGCTCCAACTGGATTTACTGATCTGAAACTGTGCTTGCATGTTTTATTTTTGTATCGCTCGATTCATAAGCAATTTAAATTCATAGCATTCATTCATTAATACGCGTTCAAAGCAAGCAGCAAGCGTGAAGAAGCTTGTACCCGTCGTCGCTGATTGTTGTTCGCTGACAGTCCGTGTTTTGTGTTATACCATCAGGTGTACGACGAGCTTAGGACGATCAAGGCCGATGCCGCCGAGCCCAAGGCCCGGCGCATTCTCAGTGGTCTGGGCTTCTCCAGGGCCATGCAGGTATAGTTTGGAATTATGCTGGTCGGCACTTATCGTTCATAAGTCATGGCCAGTGATGCAGATGCAGCGCAGATGCAACGGAAGCGGATGTGTTTATTTCTTCAATGTACTTCAGCGAGCCGTCAGACACAATTTTCTAGTTGCCCTGTAGGCTGTACATAGTTGATGACTTGATTGTTCATATTAACTTATTTTCAGAATCGAGCCACGAAGAACTTCTCGGGAGGTTGGCGTATGCGTGTGTCGCTGGCGCGTGCCCTGTTCATCGAGCCGACCCTGCTGATGCTGGACGAACCGACCAACCATTTGGACCTGAACGCCTCTATCTGGCTGGACAAGTAAGGCGAACACCGGCTCAGAGGCGACATTTGAACGGCGCGTCCGTCTCCATAGCGCAGGCGACGATAGACGGTGCCCATGACAATGTGTCGTGTTGCAGCCACTGATTGTGCAATATGCATGATTTGGGTTGTCTTCGCCGAGTGTGTGTCTGCTGTGTGAGTCGGGAATATAAATTTATGTGGTAGGGTGACCTAACTTGACCTAACTAAGTGGGATACACATCCCTCCGTGAGTTTTGCAGTGTCATACTGCCAAGAGCTGGCTAGTTATATGACCATGGCGTGTCCCGCGTCCGTTCAGCTACCTGCAGGGGTGGAAGAAGACACTGCTGGTCGTGTCTCACGACCAGAGTTTCCTGGACAACGTCTGCACGGACGTCATCCACCTGGACGCGCTGAAGCTCTACTACTACCGCGGCAACTACTCCATGTTCAAGAAGATGTTGCTGCAGAAGCGCAAGGAGCAAATGAAGGCCTGGGAGCGACAGGAGAAGCGCATCAAGGAGATGAAGCAGTCCGGTACCAGCAAAAAGGTAGGCATCATTCAGCCCGTAGGAACAATTTAATTTCCGTCGAGCGTTATCGGTGTCGGTAACGTTATCGGTGGAACATTTTGCTTACTTCTTTGGATTGTTCCGAAAGCATGTCCATCTCCATCGTTCGTTCGTTAATCACGACATTGCGGATGATCTTAAAGGTGGATCACTGAAAGGCGACTTTATCCATTGTTGCTGTCATATCAGTTACCCGTCTTCTAAAGCTCATTGCCAATTAGAATCAAACACTTGTCGCCCGCGAGGTTGTTTGGCCCACTGACACCGGCGTCTTGTGTCCCAGGCGGCGGAGAAGAAGGAGAAGCAGCAGCTCAGTCGGAAGCAGGAGAAGAACAAGTCCAAGGCCGAGCAGGCTGACGAGGACACGGGACCGACGGAGTTGCTGCAGCGGCCGCAGGACTACTTCGTCAAGTTCCGCTTCCCCGAGCCGCCCCCGCTGCAGCCGCCCATCCTCGGAATGTACAGTAAGTCACTCGGAGCTCTTATAGAGCAGTCAACCGCCAGTCGTGGCTATCACGCTCACCTAACAGTGACTGATAGCGAGTTTAGTCGAACCTTTGATCGGTGCATAATTATTATCCGCAACAGATTTTCCTGATCACAAAATGACCATCCACAGTCGCCTGAGCAGTGACGTACCGCCCCATTCACGGGTGCAGTGGAGGCAGTGGTCCATTGTCAACGGAGGGACTTGTGTCCAAAACTCCGTTCCCCACCTAACACTTCGTCTGTCCTCTCTTCCCACAGACGTCGACTTCCGTTACAACGAGACGGCGCCGCTGCTGATCAAAAAGTGCGACTTTGGCGTGGACATGTCATCCCGTATCGCCATCGTCGGCCCGAACGGCGTCGGCAAGTCGACCTTCCTGAAACTTCTCACCAAGCAGATCGAGCCGACGCGCGGCGAGGTGAAGAAGAACCACCGGCTGCGGATTGGAACGTTCAGCCAGCACAGCGGCGAGCAGCTCACTGCCGAGGAGACGCCCACAGAGTATCTGATGCGGCTCTTCAACCTGACCTACCAGGAGGCGCGGAAAAACCTGGGCACCTTCGGACTGGCCAGCCACGCGCACACCATCAAAAATAAGGTCAGTCTGCACTCTGCACTGCAAAGAATGTGCATCAAATATTGTTTGAATTTAGGTACAGGTGCATTAGATCGGTTTTTATTATCTTGTGTCCTGTTATCCTGCTATTGGTTATATCAATGGTGGTATATGATTTGATATCATGGCTTTCGTAGCAGCCGCTCGCATGAGTGTCGTCGACCAATTATGGCTGTGGTGTCGGTGTCACGTCATGACCCCCCTCTTACCATCCTCAGGACCTGAGTGGCGGTCAGAAGGCGCGAGTGGCCATGGCCGAGCTGTGTCTGATGGCGCCCGACGTTCTGGTCATGGACGAGCCGACCAACAACCTGGATATCGAGTCCATCGAGGCGCTGGCCGACGCCATCAACCACTACGACGGAGGTAGGATGCGGGCGCGGACGACACCTTCTCATGCTTATTTATTCCCAAAACAAATTAGTAGCCGTTTTAGTCGGTTTCGTGACACTAATTTGATTTTCCTGGTCGCACATATATTTCAATCGCAGTATGGAGCAGAAGTAGTGTTGCAATTCTGATTCACTGTATCAACAATAGACGTAACGTATTTCAGTAAGTTGTGCGGTATTCAACACACTCGATTGTTATTCTCAGAGATTCTTACATCCCCTGTGCCTTCGCAGGAGTCGTGATCGTGACTCACGACGAGCGTCTGATCCGAGAGTGCGACTGTACGCTGTACAGTCTCGAAGACGGACAAATGCAGGAGATGGATGGAGACTTCGACGACTACCGCCGTGAGCTGCTCGAGAGCCTGGGAGAGGAGATCAACAGCCCGAGTATCGCGGCAAACGCGGCCGTGGACCAGGACTGACCGGGACGCCTGGCCCCCGGGCGGCCTTAGACCATTCTTTTCAATGCTGATCTGTGGTGCGGGCCTTCCGCCTCGATGGACATGGGCTGTCGGTCCTACCCGCCGCGAGATTTTATCGCCGTCGTGGAGGATGTCGTTGACGTGCGCTTTGTGCGCAGGAATATACACGGTGGGTATCTACAAAGCGTGTATTCAACATTGCGGCTGTACACTTGTCTGTGGCCCTCTGAGAAGGCACTATACTGCGGATGGAATGGGCGCGCCTCTGGCACAGCTGAGATGGCTCGGGGAGGGAGTACGGGAGGAGGGGGGACGGCGCGCCCGTCAGCCGTCCGTCTTGGCCGGTGTGCGCGGTTTGGGGCTGCGTTTGGGACTGCTCAGGGTGACCAGTGGTACCCGCCGCGGGGTGCGGGGAGACGGCTGCGGCGGTGGTTCGACGGCGGCCGGTGAGCCGGGCCCCTCGTCCAGTTCCCTAGTGGTCTCCTCCAGGTGCAGCACCAGCTGCGTACCGTCGTCCTCGGCCTCCATCGGTTCCTGCTCCTGAGGCTCCGGCTCCGGCTCCTCCACCTCCTCAGCGGCTGGCTCGGCCGCCGAGGGGGTGCGCGCCGCCGGCCGCCGAGGGCTGGACAGCGTCACCAGGGGTACCCGCCGTGACGGGGTGCGGGGAGCGTCTCCGGTCGCCGGTGGGGGCCGCTCTGATGACGGCGGTGGCTCGGCGGACGCCTTCTGCTCCTGTGGCCGCTGCTGCGCCGGCGCCGGTGGCTGTACCGGGGACTTAGCTGGCGGCTGGACGGGCGCCTGCGCCGGGGTCTCCGCCTGTTGCCGGATGGGTGCCGCCGGGACTGACTCCCGTGCCGCAGTGTCAGTCGTGGTGTTACCGTTGCAGTCTCCCTGCCCCCGCTGCTCGTCACTCGGTAGGTAGGGCTCACCCAGCTCTCCGTCGTCGAAGGTGATGACTGAACAGAACCCGTCCGTGGAGGACACCATGAGCAGACGACCGTCCCGTGACCTGACGGGAGAGCGGGGAGTGTCACTTGTCAGGTGCTACAAAACGCATTCAGTGTCTCAACGCAAGCGTCACCGTACATAGTGTAGTATGTCACACGAAGTACTACTTTCTCTATAACATCTGCAAGATCATTAGGTGATGTGCCCTGTGCACGCCGTTGAAATTGTTGGTTTTGATTCATCGAACATCAGCTAGAAACTTATTAAGTGAGACAACCATGAACAACGGAAGATAAATGGGTGGCGAACAACCGAGTTAACACCCTTCATCAGTCGTCGCCAGCGTGCTCTCACCAGCTGAGGTCTGTGAGCCGGGTGAAGTGGATGTTGGAGATCCTGGCGAACGGCGCCTCCTGCTGCGTGTCGTAGAGCAGAACCGAACACCGCGTGGCCACTGCCATCACCATCCTGTGACAGGAGAAGGAGAGGAAACGAGAGTCGTCAGATCATGTTGACCACAGCACAGATAGTATAACAGATGGTGTGGAGCAGGGTAGCCGGAAAAGGTAGAGAGGGTATACGACGATGAGCTTGGATTTCGGGCTCACGGATCGACAGGGCATTGACGCTCAGAGGGCTATAACGGTGGGCAAATAATGTTGTTTTATGGTTTGTTTATTAGGGCTTTGGGCGCGCCGAATGTCAAGGTCATTTTGCGCCCATGTCGTTTGACCAGTGTGTCCAGAATTGTAATGTTGCGGCGAAATTCACCCATAGTGAAAAGTATAATGACATCCTAAAAATGTATATAAAAACATCCACACGGCAGTCACGACTTATAATAACAACCTCGAACCCAAACGTCTAGGAGCAAGGGCAACACAAACCTCGCAAACTCTCACAACACGCTAAGACAATCATTCGAATAACCAAAATGTTCAAATATATGACCCGACTTAAAAACCTCATTTGACATCCCGAATATCAGAATGTCTTCAACGTTTTATCAGTATTTAATGTTTCTACATCATTTTCTCGTGACATAAATAAGAACAGTGCTTAAAAAGGGTCGAAGTCAAGTTTTATGAAAATAACTACATCTTTTTCGGCCTTTTTTCTACATCCTCCCCCTAAAGTAAAATGAATTTAGCCACACTGCGTTTGACGGTATGGCTCCCAGCTCCCATCATCCAAATCAGTTTCAGCTCAGTTGCACTTCAAATGAATGAACTACTGCTCGGGCACCGAGAGACACAACACCACCCTGGTTACATCCCTCAGCGCATGAAGTGCGCCGCAGTAGTCAGCAGGGTTCACTGCGGCAAACTGAGCTGTAGGGCAGCCTCAGCAGGGTGTCTGTTATTACTGACCTGTAAGGCAGCTTCAGCAGCGTGTGTGGCTAACTGACCTGTAGGGCAGCTTCAGCAGGGTGTGTGGCCAACTGACCTGTAGGGCAGCTTCAGCAGCGTGTGTGGCTAACTGACCTGTAGGGCAGCTTCAGCAGGGTGTGTGTCTGCTCCCAGAGCGGTTTGCCCGGCTCCGGCGGGTGGCGCATGCGCAGTTTGTACAGCGTCGGGCAACAGCGGACGGCGATTGTGTACTTGTCCGTCGACGGTAGACAGAACACCGGCCTGGCGAGAAAAGTGCGTACGCGTCACTTTGGAGACTCTTGGACGATAGTAGTCATACCAGTCATATCTACAGAATCACAAGAAACACCCATATGGACAGATCACCGTCGCCAGATATAGTATAAGTTGGTATAAGTAAGTGTTACAGCACGCCATGAGCATTGTCATCACCTGCTAAGACCTACCTTCTAAAAAAAAAAACTACAGTCTTCTTTGATCCAACCCACTGAACCACATAATACAACCCACATTTTTTATCACTTAGCCTGCGTAGCCCACCTGGAGAAGTCGTGTCGTGAGAAGACGTGTACGACGTTCTCGAGTTTGGCGCCGGGCCCGGTCTCTAGCAGCCCGGCGGGCGCCAGCAGCAGCGTGCCGTCGGGGGTGAACGACAGCCGCCGGCAGAACGTCTGCAGCGTGTCGTCGTGGAACAGCCGGCACGCCTGGCGGGAGAGAGAGAGAGAGACATGGGTAGGAGGCCGTCAAGAGAGACACATAGGTAGGAGGCCGTCAAGAGAGACACATGGGTAGGAGGCCGTCAAGAGAGACACATAGGTAGGAGGCCGTCAAGAGAGACACATGGGTAGGAGGCCGTCAAATATGGGAGTTTGGAGGACGGAAGTGGACAATGAGAGGACTTCAGTTTATTCATTCCACTTTACTAACGCTATTCCATTCTTTTTCAATCAGTTCAGTCAAGTCATTCAATAGTCTAGTAAACCGTCGAAGCCCCCCCCCCCCCCCAAAAAAAAAAACGGTGGGCTGGAGGACAATACTCATGTGGAGCACAAATGGATACCCCGTTAATGGCAGCGTATTTCCTATATCAGTAAAGTAATTGGGACGCCAAAGGTTCAAAACAGCGGTTCAGGATCTCACCTTTTCCTCGACGGTGCCATCCTCTTTGGTGTGTGGCATCTTGAGCTTCTGAACTTTGGATATGCATTTCCCAGTTTGTACATTGAAAATACGACAGTGCCTGAAAAAAAATGGGAAGATAACAGTCCTCGGTAGGTACTAGCAAGTGTGCCGAGAACAACTCACATGGAGACATTGAGAGCTACAAGTCGACAAGCAAAACAATCATAAACAAAGAACACACCCACCTATCACAGCTAAGTGTTGCTACTACTTTGTTTAACGGATCCCAGGCCACGCCTTGGACGAAGCTCTCGTGACATGAGAGAATCTGCATCTTCACTCCTGAAAAGATGTCACCTTATCAGTATCAGTACACCGTCATAAAGCTTATTACCACGGAATATATAGTCAACGACAGACTATATAGGTATTGTCGTAGACTATATTTTCCGTGATATTACATACTACCCTAACGACCCGACTGACGACATGCGGCAGAATAATCACAACACACTCGATTCTAAGCACCATTATATGCGCCCAATAACGTATCCGCAGTCAGCACTGCATGCAATCAGTGGAAAAGTAATGCTAGGTACGCCATATTAATTATGCATACATAAACAAGGCTACACACGAAGTTCATTTACAACCTATTTCTTTTAGCGAGTGTCCCCACCTTTCTGGACGTCCCAGAGGATGGCCGTGTTGTCCACGGCGCCGGAGATGAGGTGGGCGCCGTCGGCCGACCAGCACAGGTCGTACACGTCCTGCAGGTGGCCCCGCAGCGTCTTGTGTATGCAGTAGTGCTCGCGGAAGTCGGCGCCATCCATCTCCAGCATTATGTTCGGGTGGTCCTGGCGCCGCCACAGGATAATGTGGCCGTCTGGCGGCGAATCCAGATTAGAATGAACAGATCGACGGGGATGTGGTGGAGGAGCAGAGTGGCACACACAATCTATCAAGAGTAGTTGTTCATTTAGCTGGCTTATGAGCTAAGTGGCGATGGTTTCGAGGCTAACATTGTATGCTTCCTATTCCCAGTAAGATTGTTTTTCAACAAATCATCATTCTCCCAATATTCAAGTCAATTAGCAAATTATCTGGCAACTGACCATCATCAGCAGAGGCCAGCAGGATGTCCTTGATGGGTGCGAACCGCACCACGTTGACTGGCTTTAGGTGGTGGGTGAGGTCGGCCAGCACCTCCACAGTCGAGTCCCCCTCAGTCAACGTCACCTCCCACATCTGTGAGGCAGCCGGACAACACCAGTAAACACACTGGCCACTGTGTGTTCATCACATGGGTGCTAAAGCATCAAATTACTGTGTTTATCGCTGGAATTAACTTTCACATTATCCTATTGTTTCGATGAGTTCAGTGAAGTGGAACAGCTATCAACACACTACTACATACCTTCAAAGTAAATTTGTTTCAGGCCAACTGATTTCATCATTGCCATTCATTGCTATTCTTTGAGTCTTGTTAGTAGCTGCACATATAATCATAAATGACATTAAGCATCAATAAAATGGGAATTATACTAATAAAAAGGCCAAACTTAATGGTTGAATTAATACATGAAAACAATTCACAAACTTTGATTATAACTTGTTTCTGGATAATACTCATGTGTGCACTTACCACCACATGCGAGTCATTTCCACCAGATGCGATTCTGTAGTGCTCTGGTGTGATTGGCACAGAATGGACATCCAGGCTCAGCACAGGATCCTTATTGTGCCATGATATTTGTGGCACAGTGCATTTCATCTTGTCTGAACTATATGCCCTCCTCTTAATATATCCTGGAAAAAGCTGGTAATAATATAACTTACATTTAGGATTGTGGATGAAGAAAAGTTTATAATATATTTTGAATAGTCTTATACCAAGATTTTGGCAGGTGCATACAGTTGAGACATGAATAAAAAAAAGAAAAATGCTTGGGCTCAAAATAATGCATTTGTGTAGGCAACAATCAATTAATAAGTATTTTTACAGTCCTTAATGCTCAATATAGTCTTATCAATTAATTCAAATTCAAAGTTTCAATTTCCAACAGTATTCCATAAATTTAAATACAAGTTAACAGTAAACACATAAGCAATGTGCAATGAGAACTGCGCTATTGAGTACCTATGCAATATGGAGTAAACAATGTCATTATTTATTAAAAAAACACACAAATATCAGTGGTGGATAAAATGTACCTAACCAATAGCTAAATCTTCAGCCACATTCAGAACAAAAGTCGAAATGCAAGTGACACAAACATCTTGATCCTGTGAAACCTGAACATAATGATCTATGATCAGTGCTGTGCATAGGTGGAAGCAGGAAAACTATTGCAAACTGGGGGTGCCCGCTGCCCGACACCACTAATCCCCCACAACCCTTAGAGTAACCTTGTCCCCTGCCATGTGTTTTAGCTTCAGTCCACAGCCCAGCCAGCGTGGGTTTGGATTTGATGGCGTGCCCAACCTCTGAGGGTTATATGACCAGCCTGCGTGGAATTGGGAGGGCCTTGTCACCCTCAGATCTGCACAAACATCCACCTATGTTGCTGGGTAATGCATTGTGAATATCACCAATTAAAAGCTGATAAAAATAAAATGTGATTGCTACTTTTTCTTATAACACATTTCAAGGGACCCTCCCACCTAAAAAAAAAAAAAAACTAATGGCATAAAAGTGATATACTGTGGTTCAGAAAGAGCAAAAATGAGTAGGTAGGTATCTACAAAATTTTGCCCAACAATTTCACCTGTGGCCAGCTACCAACAGAAAAATAGCCATCTGCCAGATTTTTTTTTTACTAAAGACTGCTTCACATACTGATGACTGAGCGTAAACGGTACAGTACAGCCCCATCCACTTACGTACCCATTGCGTTTTCGCTCCTCATGTAAATCAGTCTTTAGGCAAAAAATTATGGCAGGCAGCTATTTTTCTGTTTGTAAAACTGGCCTCAGATCTTGAGCCAGGGACCCCAATTTGGCTATTTCAACTCAAAGTGATGTTGAGGTGGGATGACCTGAAATCAATTATTGGCATCACGAAAAGGTCGAGGGTAACTGACCCAGCAGCCTAGATTGAGATGAATGGATTTGAAAAGAGCACCATGTAATTCTAAGCTCTCACACACGTCTGACGTCACACGAATGATGACACAGGCTGAGGTGGGCTGAGGCATCAGAGGCGTCAGATGCGGCACCACGATACAGTTGTAGAATACCGTAGAAAAAGATTAAATGTCACACCTTACCCGACGTTCAATGTGCGACAAATCTATGAATTCAAATAATGTTCAACATTCATACAGTAGAGTGTAGACCTTGCGGAAAAATAAAAACACATTACATGAATCATTCATCACATTGGAACTTGACTGCGTAGTAAATGTCTTTGCGGCGCCAGAAACAACTCGCTTATATTTCGCGCCATATTACCCGGAATATGGTAGCTTGACAAAACTTTCATGAAGTAAAGGAAAATGCATTCTTACCATTAACCCGGTTTACACAGCATATTTGACGAGGCTCTAGCTCGTTAATTTGGCGATAATTTCGATGTAGTGTCTTCAAATATTTAGAGGGGATCATTTTGTAAATTGTTAAGCATCATTGGCATCTTTTGCAACATCATGGACGGAGATATAAGCTTGCAAATAAAAAGAATAATAAAAATAAAAATAAAGATAAAAACGCATTGACACCACCAAGGCAGAAGTTGCCATGTCGTACCTAGGCAACTTCTGCCTGTATTCTGACCAGATTTCTGACGAAATAGGCTGCACGACGAATTTCGCACCGTGAATTCAATATACGGATGCACGCACATGACCACCGAAATCGTCTGCACTTTTGCTGAAATAACACACTCGTTAATTGATGTCCGTGAAGTGAGCGCCTGAGGCCTGAGCACCAGCAACGAATACAGCGGCGGATTCAAAATCGCTTCAAAAACTCAGATAGAGTCAATTTGGAGACGGGGAACACGAATATGACCTTTATTTTGACCTAGCTCCCTCCTCCATCTCTTAATTGTCCCTTAAATGGGGCACAATTAGTACCTATGGGGCACAAACGTGCCTCAGGTGCTCGTCTGATCTGCGATCGCTAAAATACTGGCCGCAATCGATTCCCCGGGTCAACATCTAGTCGCAGTCGTGCTCCAGACGTGTGCCTTATCCTTGCCCCTGGTCTCTTATCCCTTAATCGTCGGGCACCCTGAATTGGGCGTAAAAGGGTGAGTGGTAATAGCCGTTTTCACGACGGCTATCTGGTACACGTTTAGTGTAGATTAGGTGCACATTTGGTGAGGATTTGGCTCAAATCAGGTTCAGTGTATTTCTTAGTAGCTATCAGCTAGTAGCTACCATGGGGTCAAACGACTATGGAGCTATAGCTCTACGGCGCGAATCCGCTGTCATTGAGTTGGGAGACGGACGCTATCCACATGTACATAAGAAGGTATGTAAAATAAATGAATGGATATGAAAACATACCTATTCAAAATAAACAATGACATAATTCATCAAGGTCATAAACACGTGTATTGAGTAGGTAGTGACAACACTGAGCACGCTGACGTCACATAGATAGGTAATAAATACATGCACTTATATGAACACATGCCAATGCATCCAACATCATCATCTTCATTCTTCATGCTGCTGAGAGCTGCACGACGGGCGAGCTGCATTCACCTTGCGCATACATACAGCGAAATATTTACATGCTATCGGAGTAATCAATGCTTTTATCTATCGGCCAGTATTGGATATCCGTGTGAGAATTTAGAAGGGCGATCCGTAGCCGGTGGCCGGGCTGGGAGCGCCGTAGCCGTTGTTGGGGGCGGCTGCGCCGTACTGGCCGTTCTGGCTGTCCTCAGGGAACTGCGCCTCGCCCTCGTACTGGACGTCAGCCACGAAACCAGAGTCGCCCTCCACGTAGTAGGTGACGGTCTGGACGCGGGTGTCGGGCAGCAGCACGCGGTACACACCCTCGACGCGGCTGCCGTCCGACTCCTCCTTGTGGCCGTAGTCGTTACCCTCGTCGTCCTTAACCTCGTACTCGAAAGAGTACGGCTGCGGTGGGAATTCCTCCTGGCCGGCGCCGTAGCTGGTCTGAGGGGCTCCGTAACTCTGAGGGGCACTGCCCTGGGGAGCTCCGTAGCTCTGAGGGGCGCTGCCCTGGGGAGCTCCGTAGCCTTGCGGGGCAGCGGAGGCGGCCGCCACCAGCAGAAGAAGAGCAGCGAATACCTGCCGATGAGATAAGCATAAATATGCATTTTTATAACGGCAAAGTTCAGGTTCATTCATATCATACAGTGCAGTCCCGAGTAAAGAAGTGATTTTCCCAGTGCAATGGCACCTACTAGGTATATATAATATATATATTGAATAGAAATAATTCAGGTGCTGAAAAGAACTTAAATGAGCCCCACGAATGGCAAGGTATTTTACCTTCATTATTGTTTACTTTGTGGGTCGGATCGGACTGTGCCAATGGCTACTGTCTGCGAACTGATGCTGTGGTGGCCGGCCGCTACCATTATATAGCTCCGTCCCGACCCCCGGCAAGTCACGATTCGACGGCCATTTTGCAATGGATGCACATCGCTTGCCCCACATTTGGAGTAAGATCGCCTACCATTGACCAATAACAGCTGATCGAAGCCATCCCTAAATACTGAATCCTGCCCTCCAGCCACACGCCGCGGCACTTGGTCCCCATCCATTCACTTCAGTCGTGCCCCTAATGCGTAAATACACAGCCCCTGTACGCCCACAATCATTACTCGTGTAAGGGAGTGTCTGAATTAAGGTGATGCCCATAGAGATCTTATATACATATACATATATATATACATATATTCAATATAAATAGTCACCCTATCATTTTCAGTTTACTGTCCAGGAAAGTAAAATGTATGCCACACCTGTCAGCGTTGAGAAAATGCAGAAAGGCGTAGTCGATTTTTAGTTACATCGTTTTCTAAAAAAGCGGCCAAATTACCCCACTCTCCCCTAAATAGTAAAGTTGGTTCATGTGCTGACCCTTGGTGACCTGACCTGTGACCGGACATGGTATTATCAGTGACCTCTAATAGCAACATATATACTAGGCAACGTACGCCCTATTTTTAACGTACGCGAAACATTTTATCTTTGACCTGACCTGTGACGTCATCGGTGACCCCGAGGTCAATGAAATTGGAGTTCCGTCGACAAATTTGACAGGGCTATCGAACATCGTTTGAATGTTACGGATCCGTCCAGTAGTTTCGGAGATACGAGAGGGGGGCAAAAAAATGCCCCCCACCGCGCGGAAGGTGGCCGGGAGGTCCACCGCCTGCCAGGTTGATGAGAGCCTGAATGAGAGAGAATGTTTTTAGGCGAGCTTTTAAGGAATTCAATAAAACACAAAATGAAATCATGCTACAAATTTCATTGCTTACCTCAGGAATGAAATCAGCCAGGAAAGAACAGCAATATTTTTAACCAGTAAAACGCCTTTTGGGGGCGACCATCGGAGCGAGCGAGAGGGTGGGCCTTGGACAAGCGAATTTGCAAGGGACACCTCCAACTAACTTGTGCACTGCACCCTACTCACCGGTCCCTAGCGATGTGCCAAATTTGAGCGCAATCGGCCTAGCCGTTCTCGAGATCTGGAAGCGGCACCCGGCACGTGCACACGTGCAAAATGGGTCACAACTGACTTTTGCACGGCACCCTACTAACTGGTCCCTAACCATGTACCAAATTTCAGCACAATCGGTTCGGCCGTTCTCGAGATCTGGAATCGACCCCTGCACGTGCGCACGTGCAGCAGCACCCCAACTGTGGCACATGGATATGTATGGCCTAGTGGGTGCCTACCTACATACCAACTTTCAGCGCAATCGGCCAAGTAGTTACCAAGATATTGCAACAATTGCAAAACTGACACCTCTTCGTTTTGCACGTGGCACGTGCATAAGCGGTCACCCACATGCATCGAGAATAGTCCAATACTTGGTAGAAGGAATGAAGCTACCCTAGAAAAATCATCGAATGTAAATCGGTCAAGTGGTTGCTGAGATATATGTAAGCCTCGCAAAAGCGTAACCACGGCCGGCCGGCCGCTCATACTCAGAAATTTCCGTTAATCTACGAAAGACTACGCTTGCTTCGCTCGCTCCGTAATAATTTCTTCAGACTAACAATGCCTCAGCCATATTGGCACGCTACTGGCTGAAAATAAGTTGCTTAAAAAGACCCACTGAATCGCCACGATTTTAAGTGCATGTCATCTCTATGTATATAAGATCTCTATGGTGATGCCACCCAGAGCGTATAAGCGCTCTCTCTGAGGACTCTGTTGTTGAACGGACGGTGCATTAAATTGCATGTTGAAAATGGGGAATATTTGTTTCTGGTCCCTAAAAAGCTGTTTCTGGCACCTAATTGCTGATCAGCCCCAAAATGCTTATTCGACCCTAATATCTGAATCTGGCACCTAATTGCTTCCACACAGCCTAAAGTTGCCAGATCGTCTAGTTGAACTCCGTATTTGCTGTTTGCTGATTCAGCACCAAAACCAAAACATCCAGCACCTATTTTATTCCACGTTTGCCAACCTAATTCGCGTAATCTTCCTGATTTTATGTATCCTAACAACATGAACGTTGCATTCGGTGATGTCAAGTGCCATTTTCGCCAGTGGAGATAATGATTAACCCGCGCCCTGCTGGGGGTCCTGGATTTCCACGCCCTGCTGGGGGGGGGGGTGTTTGAACACCCCCCCTTGTAACTCGGCTCCTGGGCCACGTAGCGATACGCGGAAGGCGGCGTTCGAAAGAGCGTAAAAAATAATGACGAAATCACTTCGGTCAATTTTTTGGTCCGGTCAAAGGTCAGGTCACCGGAGGTCATTGAAGGCAAAATTTCGCCGATTTCCAGGTCGAATGTCGAAAATTTCCAAGAAGCCAACGCATAACTCGAGAACCAATAGAGCTACAGCGCCGCGGAAAAGCGCATTCGATAGCCCTATTAACGCCCTTTCTGAGTAATTCTCTCAGATTTGACCTAACGTCAACGGTTTTGCCTGCAGGGGGCAAAAACTGCAAAAATAGCCGATTTTTTCGAAAACAGTTTTTCTGCAATAACTTTTGACCCAAGCCTTGTACGAGCTTACTTTTACCGGCATCGTGTTCCTCTCGTCAAGACGCATCGAATGAACTATGACTTGACCTTGAAAGGTCAACTTGAAAATTTGACCTCAGGTCAAGGTCATGACCTGACCGGAAAGGGTCATGTTGCATATCAGTCGATCCGTATCGTCGAGCTGAACACATCTAACGCGTTTTCATCGCTCTAGCATGCCTCTATCAAAAGTTATTTGCGAAAAACTGTTAGATACCATTCGTGACCTAAGATGACCTCAGGGCATAAACAAGGGTCACGGACACCATTTTCAAGTTCAGTGTGTCTAAACCACTTGTAATTCGGTGTTTGGGAGTGTTTATAATGTCTTTCATCCAAAAGAGGCGCATTTCAATTTTCTCCCATTGACTTATAATGGGGAGGTCGCAAAATTGACCTGACCTTAGGTCATCGATATCAAAATTCTGAGATATACATTTTGTACATGCTATTGCTCTTAGCAATCGCTGAAAGTTTCAAAGCGATCGGTCACTCGGTGTAGCTATGACAGACATTGAAAGTTTTTATGAGGTGAGGTCACTTCAAGTGACCTGGTGACCTGACCTTGAATGACCTTGGTCTGAAATTTTCACAACATGTGTAGAATTGATGTATGGTAAGGTGTACCAAAAACGGCGGCGCTCCGCGCCGCCATTTTTGAGATATTCGCGAAAAACCACAAGGGGGGGTGTTCAAACACCCCCCCCCCCAGCAGGGCGCGGGTTAATGCCATTTCTAGCCAAGAGAGAATCACTAGCCAGCTATGGTGCAGCATAGCAAGACGCTCCTATACCAGCCCGCTATGTAGAGACTAGAGATTATTGCACCCTCAGCCATTTTAACGTGAAAAGTTTGGATCCGTCACTTCCAGCCAGGCTCTCAGGTCATAAACTGGAGTAAAGCAAAATGTCAACTCTGAACAGACATGCCACGCAACCGGCCCTCTTTTCAATATTATTAGCTTTCTGCAATCATCGTCTGACTCCATCTCGATCAAACGCAGCATCCGGTTTCTACAGGGGCGTTTGACTGACCGGCCACACAATAACCAAAAACAAAATCAAAGCTTCATGCACACATATGACATAAGTAAGAAACGGATGAAAAAGGCACAACCACGGCACAACTCTGCGCGGCAAACAACGGACAATGTCCCACGCAAGATCCCGCGTTTCTTCAGCGGCCTTGAACGGAATGAAAACATTACATTTCTTTTTTGGAGCTATTTGATGACGTCAAAAAATACAATAGGTACCCGTTTTAATGGTCAAAATCGAGACAATTACTCACAAAAATGTTTCCGTTTAAGCATTACAAATAAATACTTTTAAATATTTAAATGACATTGTTTTTTTCAAACAAATCAATATTATTTGCTTACTTAAACGTCATATACAATGCTGAGATCACTACGGGGCTGTCTTAGAGTGTAGCTGCACTGGCAACCTTTAGGCTAGACTCCAGGGGCATTATACCAGAACAACATGATTCTACCAGCCAGTAGTTCATTTTTCTACTAGATTGGTGCTACGCTCAGCATTTAGGTGCCAGATTCAGAAAAAAGAGTAAGGCGTACAGATGAATAGGTGCCAGAAACAGCTAATTAAGGTCATTTTCCATGATTGGTGCTGGTATCCACCAAATAGGTGCTGAGGACCAACTTTGGGGCGAGTCAGCTTTTAGGTGCCAGAAATTGCTTTTCTGGGACGCAATTAAATGGCGTCCGTTGAAAATGCATAAATTGCATGTTAAAGATGCAGGTTCGTACTATAATGCTGTGCTGCACAATGCACAATTTATACATAGCAACTGTTCACGGGATGCTGCCATCCTATATAGCTATAACGCTTGTCTTTTTGGAAACATTTGAGAAAAGAACACGATTTACAAGTTTTTGTTCCTCCATTGTTCGGTCAGCGTTTGACCCGAGACCTTACAATTGCCCATACCATTGACTTCCTCTTGCAAAGAGCAGAGTGCTGGTTTTTCTGCGGAGCTCTAGCTCAACTATGAAGAATGAAAC